ATATCCTGGCTTTTAATTTCACATTGGTGTTCTCAAGAGCAGTGATTTAAAATATATATCCAGTCCTTGATCAATCACATTCATGCAAAATAGAAAAGAAAAAAAATACAAAGAAAAGGATTTTAATTAGGAAAATAAAACAATATAATTTGAAAATATTGATAAACATCTCAACCCTATGATACTATCCATAATAGCTCCATTTAATCTTCAAAAAAGGAAGCATACAAAATGTTAATGAAAAATCAAAGGAGATTATGCTTAATGAAGGAGAAAATAACCTAATATTTTAATAGCCTCTATAAAGTAAGTTCAACTATGCGTGAAAGAGAAGGTAAAAATAATGAGAGATAAGGCTTTAGCTTTTTTCTTCACATCTGTGACTATATCAAGCATCACCACTTTCATGTTAATATGCATTAGGAAAACATTTTTCTATTTTATGCATATTTGCATAAAAACCTCTTTATTATGGGTGGTTAGGATATTATGTGGCTTTACAAACTCCAGTTGTACAAAAAGGAAAGCACAGGGATGGGGAGAGTTTAAGATTGTCTAGCTAGAGCTCTCTAAACTCTGAACAAAGGTCACATCAATTCATAGTTTTATCCCCTGTGCCTACCATAGTGCTTGGTGTATAATAAGTACTTAATAAATATTTGCCAAAAAAATAATAATAGTAATGATTGGCATATACTGAATGTTTTCTATGTGTCACTATCCTAAGCACTAACATTATTTCATATAATCCTCACAAAAACTCACAAACTACTTCATAGGATGCCCATTAGTTCATTTGCTATAGATTAAAGGTTAAGAATCTTTGGAATCATACAATGGCCTGAATTTTAGCTTTCCTCTGATTCACCCTTGTTGTTCAAAATATGGAATTGCTTTGCTTGTCTGTACCTGTTTAGTCCTTATCATCTCATACTCTCTTTACCTGGTCTCCTATGCTTGCTAGAATTTCAGCACTTCAGTCTCATGTGTTTAAAACTTCTCTTGGGTCCCAATGCCTTGAGCGATACCCCATAAGTTGTGAATTCCTGCACCAACAGTCATTCCTTCTGTCCCCCCCCNGGGATGAGAGCCACTTCTGTGCAAACCTACTCCTCAGCCACAGGGGCAGTGAGGATCCTTTGTTAGCTCATCTATCTCCATGACCTGGCCGTTACGCATGTCACTATTCCCAAACACCTTTACATTCTGTGAAAGACTGCAGCATCCACAGGCCCTTCCTTTCATGGGTTGGCAGCCTAGTTGGGGAAGAAAGGCGTTTCTTCACACCTGGATTTTCTCAGATTACTTACGATGTGGAAGACTTCCTTGGTGACCTGAAAACTAAAAATAATCTGTGCGGCCAACATAGCAGTTTTATTCTTTTCCCCTGTTTTTTATATTCTTCTTATGAGTCACTATTTTTTCTTATCTACTACCTATGTATTTACTAAAGGCCATGGTAACCCACTCCAGGTAAATACCCTTGTACCCCATAATCCTTGAAGGATGGTATTCCCAAATTACATAATTTCTGGAGGAAAAGAGGGATTGCAGAGCTTCCTACATGAAGACCGCCTTTCTTGGAATCAATGCTAGAGAAGGGGTTGGTCATTCTCCCACTATGTCAACATTATAGTAAGCAAGGGGAAAAGAAGAGGGTCTATAGCTTCACAGACCGTTCTTACCAGACAACAGCGAACTTGGGGGTAGAGAAGGTGGTTAGATTCAAGAGAAGCAAATCCCTACTAGGAATGTGCTCTAAAACCCTAGTTAAGGGGCCTTGTGATAGGGCAAAGCTTCAGAGACTATGTAACCTGACACAATTAGGGAAAAGGAACATGAATCCTCTAGGAAAATCATGATTTCTTTCCCTCTCTTTCTCCAGTCACTCCTGAAAATAAAGGAGTTTACAAAAATAATCTGAGATTAAAGCCTAAATTTGGCAGAAGAGAGGAGACTTGGTTTTGGAGGAAGGTTAGGAGTTTAGATAGAGCAAGCTGCTCAGAAATACTGTTCAGTCATAGGGCTCAGCCTTGGCTGCAGATTGTAGTTTAGATGTTAGATTCTCTGGCACTAAAAAGAATTCCTCTTACCATCGAATAAACCAGATAGTTACATTTTCTTGTCTGTGGGGGAAAAAAATACACACCATTGATACACTAGAGAGGAATGTTACCCTGCCAGGGTAAGCCTGGGTATCCTGATTCAGGCAAAGGTTATTGCCTCCTCAGTCAAGGACATAAAATAAACGCTGCAGGGCAGGCAGAATGCAAATACATCCTGTTACCGCAGGTGGAGGCTGCCGCCTGCACCTCCGGTTCTCCAGACAGCCAGGCCTCCTGGCCTTCTTTCTTGGGCTAAGCTGACAAATGCCACGCAAGAAATGGGAGATCGAGCGGTTCCTCAAGCGCTCCGTGGAGCCCTGACTGCTGCCCCCTCCCCCCCCAAGAATGGAGAGCTTCACAGGCAGAGGATGTTGGGAGATCACCCGCGCCCGCTCCTGTTTTTAAGGTGGCTGCACTGTCCGAAATGAGAGCCTCTTTTCCCCAGACCTGTCCTAAAAAAAAAAAAAAAACATTTAACTCGCCCTCTGCCGGCCCCTATCGGAGAACGAAGGTGGGGGAGGGGCGCCTTATAAAATGCTGAAAGATTGTTTTTTTTGACGTTGCAAACCAAGGAAGGGGGGAATATTTAGGGCAGATGATGGGTTAAACAGTTGTGAAATTCTATGCAAGAACTTCACCGTCTCCATCACCGGTGCAGGAGACACAGACCTAGACCGCTGCGGCGAGCAAGGCGGCGAATGCGACACACTGAAAATGCCAGGCTGAACCACCTTAAAGAGTAATCGCCTCACTGCGTTAGAAAAATATGCATTCTCGTAGAACACAGTCCGGAAATTTGGATTCCCCCTTTCAAATACTGCTTAAGAGGAGGGAGAGAGAATCAGCGCTGGGCTGCGTCTCACCACTTGCTGTGCGCCCCGGAAAGTCGCGTCCAGCAGCATCAGCTTCCAGGGTTCCGACACGGAGCTGGGCAGGGGGATGTAGATGTAATAAGCGGCCAGTGCCACCAGGGCGATGAGCACCACAGAGGACGACCTCATCCTCCCCCCGGGTCGGCTAGCCCGCGGGTTGACCAGGACGAAGGGGCGATGCCACCCAAAGACCTCTGGCAAGTTTCTGCAAAGGCCAGCTGCTCATTCACTGGTTTCTTATATGCCCAGGAGCCAATCAGAGGCAGCGTCGGGAGGAAGTCGGAGCGTTGACGTCCCCCCTCTTTGGTGTCCTTGCAAAGTGTTGCAGACGCTCTGGGTTTGAAACATCTGAGGCTGCGCTAGGCCGTAGCACAGCGGACTCTGGAGGACACAGGTCTGTATTGCACGCCTATGACCAAGGGCTCCCTCCTGAAGGCTCTCAAATGGAAACCTGAAATAGTTTCAGGGTCGTGAATCTGTCTGTCCAAAGCACTAGGCCATTCAGACTTAAAGTGGAGAGATACCAAGAAGATTGTAAAAATCTACTGTATTCTAGAACCAGATTTGCAGTCGAATGAACTTCTAGCTGAAATGAAGGAGAATAATTACAAATTCTTTTTTATTTTATTTTTTTTTTTTACTGAAAACATTTTATTGGCCTTTTGGATAGAAACAGGAATTTATTTGCCATGAAGGATGATCCCATCATACTTCTGCGGGAACCAGCGCAGGGCCTCCTTTTTGCTGATTCTGTGTTTGGCCCCAATGCAGCCTGTCCTGAGTTTCTTGTCTGCGAAGCTGAAACCTGGCCTACCCACCGCCACATAGAAGTCCAGACTGAAGAT